ATGCCTTTTAACAGTGGTGTAACAATACACCATAAGAACAAACTATAAAAATCAGTTGAAAATGGTTTTCTGCATGTATTGTATACTTCCAAGCTCGTGCACTATGCACTAAGTTTAATACATAATCATATATTGATAGCTAATTATAATGATCATCTTTCACAACAGTTTTTTACTTTTTTTACTCGATCGCAACTCGACGTTCATAACTCACAACTCGACTATTGTAACTCGCAACTCGACCTTTTTAACTCGCAAATCGACTTTATTAACTTGCAACTCGACTTTTCAAATCTCAACTCGACTTTTTCTTTATTTGCAACTCGACTTTCTTAGTTCTAAATCCGACAATAAGAAACACACCTTACACAAGGCATGCTTTTCCAAGACTGTTTATGACGTCTTTAATCTTAATCATTGGAGGTTTACTTGTTGATAAAAAAAATAGAGATGAATAAAAAAAAAAGACACAAAATCCAAAACAATAATTATGGGAGAAGTTTATGTCCCGTCTTACAGATATATATATTCAATCATTTTTCCTAGACCAAAAATTATTGTAAAGTTTTCTTCACCTGTGATCATTCACCCAATTAACAGTTTATGAATAGATGTGAAATTCTGGAAAAAGATTAAAATACGAATAAAAGCATGTTTTGGGGGTATGTCGATAAAACAGCAGCCCACCAATCAAAACAAAAAAAAAACATCTAGAGCTTAACAAATGGTCTGAAACTACACAGTTTTGGCATGTCTAGCTCTAAATTGCCGCGAATCTTTGAATTAAGCAGTAAAGAAATTCAACAGTCCGCAATAGCTATACCTGAGAGGTTTCTCACTTGGAACACGAAAAGAATAAAAAGAGAGACGTATTTATGATACACATTTTTTTTTATTTTCGAAAACATTTTTATTATTTTAAGGTAGATCTTTATAAGCATTATATATACACCCGAAAAATGTTGACAATAACCTTGCAGGAAAATTGGCCGGAGACGTCGAAATTGTCAGCCAGCGACGTCGTGCATTTTTGCGTTAACGTTGAGGTTACCAAGGGAGGTTTGAATTTTGAGTATATTTATTGCGATTTATCTCCGAATCCAGTACCGTGACACATACTTTTTAATCATTATTTTAAGAAAGCATGACAAAGGGCAGTTTATGTAGACAAATGAGAAAAATACCATTGTAAGAACCGCTAGTTTTTCGCATTTCAAAGTTTTAAAAATCGTACTTGGATCATCTTACTCGTGATTTTGTGCATGGCTTGATTAATAAACTAATTATTCTTATATGGATATATTTCCACCTTATTTTCCCTTATTTTCCCTTATTACGGTTTCAAAATGGATCCAATCTTATGAAAAACCTACTCGAAAATTTTTATAACTATGCTTAACTTTTTAACAAAAGTGCAAAAATCCCCAATTTTCAGCATCAATTTTTTTTATTTGGTGTTTTTTTTTTTACAACTCGCCTTGGCCTGCAGCATATTTCACAATTATAAGAATGACAAGGGAAGTTGACACTATATCGGGTGCTCTTAATTATTTTTCGTTTACTGTTTCGTGCCGTTTGCTCAATGTTGAAGACTGTAAAGTTGGTCGGATTTGCCCTGGTAACGTTATCCCTTTTCTTTGTGAAATTTCACTAGTCTCGACCTCCTAAAAACAAAAACAAACAACCAAAAAGAAAAAGAAAAGAAAAGAAAAAAAAAGCAATAAGAAAATACGTGTTCGAGAATGAATGGTTGGCTTGTACAAAACCGCACATATTGTAATAAGGATATTATATATTTACGACACAATTAGCATAACAACTAGCCCTACATATATATATATAAATAACATTAAACAATAACTACAATTTTATGATGATTTCACACCAAACGACAATAATAACTGCTCCACTCTACTGACCATGGTCACAAACAAACGTTATATTTCCTTTAGTTACAATTCATATTGACTGGCTACATCATCTGATCTTATTGGCTGATAATACTGAGACTAAGCAAGGATGACACCCAATAAGTTGCATATACCAACAGAGGTTTGATAATCATTCATTACTTAAGAAGTATAATTTCCGAAAATTAACATTGCGTCAAAAAGCTTTAATAGAGATGGATTCAAGTGTTGCGATTCTTTTATTCTGCATACAACTAATTCTGTTTCAAGCAATAGTGGGTAAGTCTATAGTTATTTTTTTTTAAATCCTCCCGAGGGAAATAGTCTAGCTTAAGTATTATTTATATAAATTCTGGAATAAATGACAAACTTGCATCTTTGATGTTTGAGCTGTAAAAGCATCGTTGTATTGTATTTATCTTTCAGGCAATGATAATGATTTTATACCAAGCTCTTAAAATTCAGTCTTAGATATTGCAAATAGAAAAAGAAAGTGTCGAAATGATTAGGATTGTGTGCTTTAAAATATGCTGTATATTTGGACTGAATGAAAATAGGGGGTAACCTCTGGGACTGATAGTCAATAATGCATGCGTCATCGGTACCATAATTAGTATTATAAACACCTGTGACGTAAATCTTTTGTTCAAACTTTCCATTATTTTTCAGGAATGGAGAGTTATTTTCTATTGTTCATCTTCATTCATCCGGTCGTTTTGCCCTTGACTCTTTCTTAAATTTGATTTGATTTTTGGTGTTTTAACGCCACTTTTAAGCACCGCTTTTGGGCTATTTCGTGGCGGCCAGTTTTTATTGGTGGAGGAAGCCGGAGTGCCCGGAGATAACCACCGACCTTCGATAGGAAAACTGACAATCCTAGTCAATTAAGATTGGAGTCGAGTGCACCTACTTAGACCACTCGGCCACCGAGGCCCCAGGTCTTTTATAAAAAGTGTTCACCCATGGATATAATTCTAAAGGACTAAACGCGATATTGAATGAAGATGAAAACTTACTAAAAAGGCTGATACTGATTTTTTTTAAATTGGGATCGTAAAGTAATACAATGAACATCAAATATCTGATTATTAATAAACAGCTTATATTTGCAAGTCGTAATTCCATCGTATAATATATAGCATCGTATTCACTAAAATTCCACAACTTTGTCCACAATTTGTTTTCCGATGCCATTCTTGGCTGAATTTCTGTCACGGAAAGTATCCAAGCGGGTAAACACGAATATTTTCCATTGAGTGCCATTCCTTTTCTGTGCGTCTACAAAATATCAAATTTGTTAACTCAGTTGAATTATTTGTAATATTGAATACATTAACATTATTCAATAAGGAAAATCAGAGAAAAATATATTTCACTTAAAGATTTGCTTTTAATTTTACCGTTTAACTGTTTAAGATATCATTTCCTTGAGATTTATTCGTTTGTTGCATTTTGATATTTAAAGCCCGCCTCCGGTTGCGGGATTTTCTCGCTGTGTTAAAGACCCGGGGCCCATTGGTGGCATTGGGCTGTTTTCTGCTCTTTGGTCGGGTTGTTGTCTCTTTGACGCATTCCCCGTTTCCATTCTAAATTTTATTTACATTAAAACAGAAAAATTACTCGGATAGTTTCTACAAGTATATTGTGGTTTAATAGAATAAATAGTTCAAGAAAATGAAATGGTCAAAATGGCATACATGTATTCGGTATATTATTTGATTGTTCGTTGTTATAATTTGAATATAGTACTAATGAATGGAATTGGAGGGGGTATGAATAACATTTGAATAAGGCTTGTGTTAAATATTAGGCGGGGTTTTTATTCAATTTTCAACAGAAACGCGTAACATTATTGAATTCCTTCGCTGTTGTTATTTGTCGAGTGGCAAATATAACAGATATATCGGCAGTGCAAGTGACGGCGTTAATCTTGAAATGTTTAAATGAAATCAAAAATTAGTTTTCCATTTAAGTTCAAGACATACAAAACGGGATCCATAAATGTTTTTAATCACGGGAGGTTTTTTTCCTAAATTAGGGAATTAAGGGAAAAATGAAAAATATTTTCAGTTTGCTTGTATTCCTATTTAAGAATCATCTAAAATATGCATAACATTTTTTCGTTGTTATGAGCAAAGGGAAAGAAAAAATGTATATGCATGAAACACTATTTTCGTGTTTAATTTTATTTGATCTAATAGAATAGTTTGAAATATAGAATCATATTTCGTTTCAGATATGACTTATAATCGAGCACACCCTTATTAGTTAAATAACCTAAACTAGAGTGTTACATACCTGGAAATTTATTCTAGTTGTACCATTTCATTTTTTATTGACGATTCTATATCCAAGATTTATCAAACGAAAAACACACATAATCCATTAACATATATGCATAAATACTAGTTTGTTTCTCTCTCCCGAAATACCACTTATAGACACAAATAAATATCCTTTCAATCCTACTACAGGAAAGACGTGCGTATCCAATAACTTAAAACATAAATCTGGATGAACTTTATTCAAAATCTGTTTATAGTAATTACTCTACTGTTCATAAATACTTCGTTTAGTGAGTAGATGGTCAGCTTGATCTTAAATTTTGCCTGTGGATTATTGGGTACACCATGGGGAAAATGAAAAGAAAACCATAACAAAATGAAATAAAATTCTTTAAAATGTTATAATCTGAAGATTCGTTCTATATTTAAGGTGTATTTTAAGTTAGCGAAAGTCCAAATAACTGTCCATTCCTGGGAAATAATGGGCATCGGCCCGTAGGAATGGACAGTTATTTGGAATTTCTCTATAACCTAATAAACCGCACGTACAAGACACATATGTCAGGAAAAATGCTGTAGATAAAAAGTGTTGAAAGTTTTTTATATTTTATTTGAGAGCAATAATTGTTTACAATAGCAGTGTGTAAACAGAGGGCTGCCTGCCATTTAAGTTATATCAATATTTGTACAAATCATCGCAAAACCATGATGTCATTTGTATTTTTTTATTCAGATTTTAGTATTTATAATATATAATCTAAAATTTGGTTAAAAGAAATTAACCACTTTAAAACTTTTCTCCTTTAGGTTCAGCTGAATGGGGATATTATCAACGCGGTATTCGTAAGTATATAATTAAATGAGGGTTTGGATGGGGTCCTTCATTTCTGTATTCTTCATTGTCTTAGGCCATTTTCTCTATTCTTTATACCTTTCGCCCATTATTCTCTATTTTTTTTTGGGTCCATTTTTCTATATTCTTTTATATTTTTTGCCCATTATTCTCTATTCTGTAAACCCCCCATCCACACCCTCTTATGTTGTCTTAGTAATCAAAAACATAACTTAGTTTTACATCAGAAAAATCGTTCAAAGTCCAAATAAATGCAACAGTTATCAAAATATTGATGTTAAGGTCAAGGAACAGTAAATGGGCTATGTCACAGATTTTGGTCAAATATTGCGAACAACTTTGACTCGCTGAAATTTAGCTGAAAATCGGAAAAAAAACAATTTTATGCATTATCTATTTTATTGTCTGAAATGTTACTGATTGAATTATTTCACATAAGGAGAACATTTGTATAGAAATCACATAAAATGGGCGTTAAACGTTCTCAAATTTGTCTTAAAATCAACAAATCTCCAAATTATATAATTATTTTATATCAGTAAAACGGAAATTTATGTATCAACAACATATAATTTTTTAAGAAAAATTTATGGACTTGAAATTGGAAATTTGATGATTGTAACACAAACTACGAATTTGTACGCTTATTTTAGGTGCTTTCTATACAAAAGTTCACTTTTTCAAAGAATTAAATCAAGAATATTTCAGAAAGTAAAAGAGACAAATGCATTATTTTTTAGATTTTCACTTATAGTTCAAAGAGCCAACGTTGCATGCAAAATTTTTACCAAAATCTGTGATATAGCCCGTTAATGGTAACTTTACCTTAAAAAATATCTTAAGAGTTGTGATGAAGTACCATTCAAATGTTCGACAATCTGAGTGTCATTAACGCCACATTCTCCAAATACAATAACAATAAACACCAAATACGAAAATGACATTAACCAACCACTGACGATGTGTTTCATGTTTAAAAAATGCGACCTTTAACGTATAGACAAATATCTTATTAAAGAAGATCATGTTTTAATCATTTAATTTTAATTTGTCTAGACGTCTTTTGTAGTTTAGTTTAGTTTAGTTTAGTTTAGTTTAGTTTAGTTTAGTTTAGTTTAGTTTAGTTTAGTTTAGTTTAGTTTAGTTTAGTTTTGTGTTTAGTTTTGTTTTGTTTTGTTTTGTTTTGTTTTTGTTTTTGTTTTTGTGTCAATTGATTGATTTTTCATTGGTCTTTACTTTTGTTAATGGCAACTTGTCTCATAATACTAAAGAACTAGTAAAAAAGCCAAAAAAGTTTTATTTGGGTTGGAAGCTTATTCAAAGTCTTTGAATAAGTTACCAGTCAAAGTGGCATGCCACCTCTTTGATTCCCTCATAAAACCAATAATGATATACAACTCTGAAGTAACATATTTAGACACATATATATCTCTTTTCGAGCAAAAAATTGAGCTTTAAATTCTGGAAAAAAAGAAGACATTTTAAGTTTTGCAGAAAAAAGTGCAATTGAAAAATTACATTTGGAATTTTGAAAATTTTTTACTGGGAACTAGAAAGAATGCATCTAATCTTGCAACTAGAGCTGAATTGGAGAGACTTCCTATAGAATTTAATATTAAAACACAAACTTTATTATATTTAAAGAGATTTGAATGCTGTAAGTTAAATCCTCGTTTGAAAGAAGCTTACATGCTTAGCAAATATTTAGACACAGAAGGAGTATACTCCTGGTTTACCTATGTAAAACATATTTTAAGTGAACTTAATTTAGATATAACACAAATACAACAAGATACTAGTTCAGACCTAAAACATGTAAAAATAAATAATTCATTTAAAAGTTATATAAAACAAACTCTAAAAACTACTTTGAAAATTTGATTCATAATATACATTTTACATCGTGCTATTACTGATGAAGGATATCTGTTATCCGAAATATTTATAGTTACATTTGTTCGTTTATTGTCATATTTTTTGGTGATGTTGTACCCTTTTAGACTGGTTATATATATATATATATACAATGTATATATAAGTGCCTATAAATAGCAGCACATGACATACAAATCTATGGGAGTGTGGATTAATCAGTACAGAGATTAATTCAATTACAAAAATAAAATTATAGATTGCCTAACAATGTAATTTTAACACACTATTTAGTATGTAAATATAAGAATGTTTAAAATATTTACAAAATGATGAAAATAAACGCAATATTTCGCTAGACTAACTAGCTTTATCAAGCGTGCATCTATCCAGGTGAAATCGGATGTAGATGATAAGAAACTTTTGCAGCTCAATGTATATGTTGCACTTGAATTTAGCTGCCTTGAAAATAATACATAATTTGGATGAAGTTCAAGATTTTTACAAAATTGGTAGTTGAAGTTAGCAACGTCCATTGGCCAATATTACAGGATAAAAAGGACGATGCTGTGTACTAAATTATTCTTTATCTTTCCTGTATCTTTCGTTAAGACCATCAGGTTCTAAAGTGTGGAGTTGGTGGATCCAAAAATTTTCTCTTCTCCTTCTCGCCGTGGTGTCCCACTCGGTGTTGACTTCTATGATTTGGAAGGTAACATTATCAAAAGAATGTTTCGTTGAACGAAGATGTCTTGTGAGAGGACAGTTTTTGTTGGTTTTGTACCATGAACGATGGTTATTGAGCCGAATATTAAATTTGTCCATTGTTTCTCCCACATACTGAATGCCACATGTGTCACATGTTAATATATAAATTGAGTTCTCCGTTTTACAGTTGGAATTTGAGTAGATGGTATAATTTTGTTTAGTAACGGAGCTGATGAAAGAACTGCTTGTATTGGCAGCTTTACAACACAAGCAGTTCCTTCGGCCACATTGTTTGTAGCAACCGGGGGATGGAGTAGGCTGCTTTGCTAATACAGATGTCACTAATTTGTCACGGATGTTTTTAGGTCTTCTGAAGGCCATGACTGGTGGTTAGGAAAATACTTTTTTAAGATTTGAATCATTTTCTATAATTTTCCAATGCTTCTGAACAATGGAAGACACATTTTTAAAATCAGGATGGTAAGTGAGTACAAGGGGTGTTCTGTTAGCTGCTTTATTCTTATCTTTGTACTCTAGAAGTTCTTGGCGACTAGTTTTGTTTGCTCTTTCGAAAGCGCTATCAATGATGTTGTTGTTGTATCCTCGAACAACTAGATGTTTACGTAGTTGTCCAAGTCTAGCATTTTGCGTATTTTCAGTAGAGCATATTCTCTTGATTCGCAATGCCTGGCTGAATGGGATGCCACGGGAGCAGTGTTTAGGATGGCAACTTTTAGGAGAAAGGAATTGATGTTTGTCCGTTTGTTTGGTATGAAGGTCCGTTATAATGGTTCCGTTCTTGATGTAACTCGTAGTGTCGAGGAAGTTTATTTTCTCCATAGATGATTCATATGTAAATTTTATTGAATGGTGGAAAGAGTTACAGTGTCCTAGAAATTCATTAAGATGTTCTTGTGAATCTGTCCATTTGAAATCAATATCGTCAATGAATCGGAACCATGATAAGGGCTGGTATGGAGCACTAGCCAAGAGGCGTTTTTCAAGTTGGCCCATAAATATGTTGGCATATGACGGGGCCATTTTTGTGCCCATACTAGTACCGTCTATCTGGAGATAATGTTTTTCATTGAAAGAGAAGTTGTTGTTCTCTAGCACTAGTTTCAGAAGTGTAACAAGGCACTCAGTTGGAGGATTTTTTTCACTACGAGTGTTCCATACCTCTTCACACGCTGCTATTCCTTCGTCTTGTGGAATGTTGGTATACAAAGAAGACACGTCCATGGATGCAAGTATAGTATTGCTTGGTAGAGGATTGAGGCTTTCCATTTTCTTTAGATAATCAGTCGTATCTTGGATGTAAGAGGGTAGTTCTTTCACATGAGGTCTTAGATGATGGTCTAAAAATTCTGATATCTTTTCAGTTGGATGACTATTTGCTGAAACAATTGGTCGACCTGGATTGCCCGTTTTATGTATTTTAGGCAACATATAGAATCTTCCGGCCTTTGCTTCGTTCTCAAGAGGTCGGAGATAATCAAAGGTGTCATTGTTTATATGCTTTTTGTCGAACATCTCTTGAAGGATGGTGTTGATCCTTCGAATATTATTTAGTGTTGGATCTGTGGTTAATTGTTTATAAAAAATGGAGTTTGAAAGTTGGCGATTTCCCTCTGCTATGTAATCTGTTTTATTCATGACAACCACAGCGCCCCCTTTGTCGGCAGGTTTTATTACGATATCCTCTTGATCTTTTAACGCTTTCAAAGCAATGCTTTCTGACTTGGATAAATTATAATTTCTTGTATTTGTTATACAGGACTTTATATCAGACCTCACGTAGTTAATGAATGACTCCAAGTTATCATTTTTACTCTTAGGTGGTTTCCATGAACTTTTTTTCTTAAATTTTGGGATGGGCGTGACTTCTTCATTGGTGTCAGTATCTGAATCTGTTAATCCAGCTTCTTCAAGGTTTTTCTTGCCCCTATTGTAGAAAAAATCTTTCAAGCGTAAACGTCTAGCGAATTGGTCTAAGTCCTCGTCTAGCTGAAAGTTATTTACATTTGATGGGATAGGACAGAAGTTTAAACCTTTACTTAAAAGAGATTCTTCAGCACGTGTAAGTTCTTTAGATGACAAATTTACAACAATGCTTTCAGTTTTTTGTTTCCGTCTTTTGAATTTTCTTTTTCTAGGGACCTTATGGTTTGTTGTATTGATATCATTCATATCCTGATTTAAATAGACAGTGTGAATTTTATCTCTTTGAAATTTATTCCTTTGTTTTTCTTTATGTTTGGATAGTTCAATTTTTTCAATATCTGCAAGGCGACGTTTAATTATTGGTAAATCGTCACGTGAAATGTTACTATTGTTGATGATATCTGATATTTCATTTACAATTTGTTTGTAATTTGTGGTTGTTAAAGAAAGTAACAGTTGAAGTAGC